AACTAACAACTAAAATAATTGCTAGAGGATTGTTGGTCAGGTCAGCAAGAAGAAACCTCTTTGAATAGTGCCATGTTCACCTGAATAGGCAGATGGGACCTTTTAACGTCTCATTTGAAGAGACAGTACCTCTAAAAATCCAGCAGTGCACTGATGTATCAGCCTAAACTGTGAGCTCAAAATCCCACACATAAAGTTCAAACCCATAATCTTGTGACCTAGAAGCAAGGGTGTTACTGTTGAGTCAAGCTGACATCTAGTTTCCCTTATCCTGCTGGCAGAACTAAGGGAGAATCATTTCACATTTTTCCACAGATCATAGGAGGGCTTGCAAGCTGGAGAATACTATCAGTAACGTGTCCTATGTTCAGTTCCACATGTGTTCCATATCTTTCTGCTGTATTTTGTTTAAAATGTAGTGGTATCAGCACAGTCTGTGAATTCACTTTCACAAAGATCATCCCAGGGCCATGGCTAAAAGGGTCTGTCTGGCTGAGCTCTCCACTGACTTCACTCAGCCAATGCTAAAACTTCCAGGTCACCTGCCTCTGCATCACCCTCCGGCCCAGTCCAAAGAGCTGCAGAAACGAGCAAAGAGGCTGGGGATAAGCACAGGCTGCCCAGTAAACCACAGCTCAGGGCATAAGCAGATACCTGAAGGGATTAGCCTTCATGAGAGGTCATATACATGAGTGAAGTGATGAAGTCTTGCATGATATAGGTCACACTGCTTCTGTTCAGGTTTTAATTCAGAGCAATGCGTGCAGACACAAAATATAATTTAAAATACTTTTTTTTAGCATTGTCATTGTACCCAATTAAGTCTGTGTGTAGATTAAAGAAATTAAAATAAATTGACCTGTCACCATGTTAAATCTTCTGCAAACTCCACTGAGAGACTGAATTAGAACATTAAAAGCACAGGGTAATTTATCATCAGGATGTATCAGAGAGCACAATAGAGGAGTTTCTGAGAACAGAAGTGGAGGCTTCACTCAGTCTTTTCCAGCACAAACAAGAGGAAAGTAGTTTGGTCTTTGGAGTACCCAGAAGCAAGAAACAGTCTGTCTCAGCATGCTGTACTTTTCTTTATGAGCTACTGGTTAGAATTTAATATGCAAGTCTCCTTGAGACAGGAAATATGTTACTCTCTACAATCTCTTGATATATGGGACTTTGGAGCTGCACTTTTCACTTCACAGTGAAACAATATTAGGTTACACAGCTCTGTGAAGTGGAAGGAGGAATCCCTCTCCGATATTCAGTTCTCCTATCTTTTTACCTCTGAGGTTCTGCACGAGCCAATAATTTGTTCCATGATGCACTCAAAAAAAGCCTGTATTGCACCTGTTATTGGAAATCGAATGCTGCATAAAAAACATTAAACACATCAAACATCAAATAAAGCATTGTTACTGACACAGGATTAGTAGTTGGAAGTCACGCTTTTGCTATTCACTGTTATGTTTGAGCATTGCTAATGAGGATACCTGAACTAATAATAATAATCGTTGCCTTTCATAAAACATTTTACCACGTCAAAACATCTCAAAACGCTTCAGAGTTTTTCTCCACCTTGACTGTGCACATCGTAAGCAACAGGACACAACAGCACTGATTAATATTTAGCATTAGTAACAAGTAAGAGTCGATGCAGGCTAAAGCTTGGTCTCTTAATAAAAAGGCTAAACTAGGGCATCTCACTGATTAGTGTATTTGGTAGCGACTCTGCAATTTCAGTCACAAAGTGGAAATTGCAAATAGCGCAGCAACTTCTGGGTTATAATCGCTTCATTTTCAACCCCATTAACTGGAGACAGACAAACGTACACTCCATCGAGTTTTATAAGCACAGCAAAATTGTGCAGTGTTGCAAAAGTTTATGTTCATCTCTTCCCATTGACTATACAACCATGTGCAGTAAATCTGATTGAGAGGGTTTTGAAATCCCTTTAGAAATGGCCTGAATAAAAAAAACACTAATGCAGTGAAATATCTGTTTGTTACTTGAGGATAATGCAAAGTTACCAGATCTCAAAATTAGTAAAAAGGGATGTTGCAGATGAACATTGTAGGCAGTGCAGCAAGTGTGCTAAGTAAATCGATTATTTGTATTATTTATGGGTGCCATTCATTTTAATGAGTTGTACAAATGTAAGTAAAACGTCAAAGGAACCTGGGCTTGTTTGTCATCATATCACTAACTGTGAAAGCTAAGTACTTCAATATTTACCCACCTCGATTATAATCTCAAAGTAATTCTGAGGCTGTCCAGCATGAACCTCTGGAAACTGTGAATGTCAGCAATTGTAAGTGAGATGACCCTAAGCGCTGTTTGCTAATCATAGAATAGTAGAGCACATAAAGAGGCCATTCGGCCCATCGAGTCTGTGTCGGCTCTTTGAAAAGAGCAATGTAATGTCAATCCCACTCGCAGCCCTTTCCCCATAACCCTGCAAACCCGTCCTCCTCAAATACCCATCCAGTGCATTTTCAAAAGTAGTTATCGAATCGGCCTCGACCACCCTTTCAGGCAATGCGTTCCAGATTCGAACAATTCGCTGCGTGAAAAAAATTCTTCTCACCTCCCCTCTGCTTCCTTTAGAAACTGTTTTAAGTCTGTGACCTTGAGTCACCGACACATCCACCAGTGGAAACAATTTTTCCCTTTCTAACCTATCAAATTCCCTCATGATTTTGAAGACCTCTATTAGGTCTCCTCGTAACCTTCTCTGCTCCAATGAGAATAATCCCCACCTCTCTAGCCTTTCCTCATAATCAAGGTCCCTCATTTCTGGTACTATTCTTGTAAATCTCCTCTGTATCCTTTCCAATGCCTTAACATCCTTCCTATAGTGTAGTGCACAGAACTGGGTGCAGTATTCTAACTGAGGCCTAACCAGTGTATTATATAGGTTAATCATAACCTCCTGACTCTTGTACTCTATGCCCCTATTTATAAACCCTAGTATCCCATATGCCCTTTTTACAGCTTTATCTACCTGTCCTGCCACCTTCAAGGATTCATTTACCTGAACCCCCAGATCTCTCTGTTCGTTTACCCCCCTTAAGATTGTATTACATAGCCTATATTGCCTCCCCTCATTTTTTCTTCCAAAATGCATTACCTCACATTTCTCCACATTGAAATTCATCTGCCATATGTCTGCCCATTTTACCATTCTGTCTATGTCTTCCTGCAGTTGGCTCCTATCCTTCTCATTGTTTGCTACCCTACCTAACTTTGTGTCGTCCGCAAACTTGGAAATGGTACTTGCTATCCCCAAGTCCAGATCATTTATATATATTAAGAAGAGCAGTGGTCCCAATACTGATCCCTGGGGGACACCATTGTACACTTCCCTCTCGTCAGAAAAGCAGCCGTTCACCACAACACTCTGCTTCCTGTCTCCCAGCCAGTTCTGGATCCATGCTGCCACTATCCTTTTTATACCATTGGCTTCTATTTTTCTTACAAGTCTTTTATGTGGTATTAAAAAGTCTTTTAATGTTGTGTCCAAAATTTGTTTCTTCTTTCTTGCATTTTCACTGCATTCAAATTAACACTCATAGGGTTGTTTTTCATCAGCCATTGACACATGTGGAAGCCTATCTCTTTTGAGTATCCAAACCAGACTGAGTATTCTTGTTTGGAAAATCTTAAGCACGGTGATGGGTTTCCACGTGCAACAGAGACCCAACTGACACAAAAAAGGAGTGAAATTTCCATCTGTGTCTGCCTCCCATCCTCCCGACGTGAAAGGCGCTCTATAAATGGAATCTTGTTGTTGTTGTTGCCTCCGACCATACACATTTCCCTGTATCTGGAATGGGAATGCACACTCTACACTCTGGGATCCCCAATGTGTATTGGGGTATTGATGGAATTATAACTGGTTAAACCGTATAGCTTGGCAAGCTTCCTGCTGCTTGTCCAGCTAGGATCAATCTGTCCATTATGGCTTTGGCTTGCAGGGTTGACAAGAGCAGAGTGGGAAAAATCCCTGCTTCATATGAATTGTCTGTTCTCCAATTCCTGCCAATGAACCAGGCTGGTTTGCAGGGTTAAAAACTCATTGCATTGTCTCTTACTGTAGCTTATTCTTTCCCAGATTTTAAGAGGGAAACACTTTGACAACAGCTAAAGGAGAGTAACTATGAATAGTTGCAATGATGGAGCTGTTTTAGCTTGTGAACAGGATAATTTGAGCATCATAATAATGACAATAATTAACTTAATAAGTTCTCTTCACAAATTACCCCTTTTATTTAAAAATAAATGCTTCAAATCACTTTACAAAGTCTTTATACTTTGGATTGATTCGAATGAAGTTAATGTTACTGTGTAAAGACAATGTTGATCATGTCTCCTACTTTAATTTTTCCCCAGGACCACGTAACTATTGCTATCTAACTCCTGACACTCTCATTTTTCTTACGATCTACAATTGACTGTTGTCTTGAGATCTTTAACATTCACACGAACAGGCAGACAGGACCTCAGGGGCCCTGGAGTGTCAACCTAGACTGTGAGTTCAAGGTCTCAACATATTCAAAAAGAGAAGGGACATTTTCCTGGTGTCCTGGCCAACAATCCCCAAATAAAATTGATTACTCTATTTGTTAGGTCAGGGTATTAAGGACTTGAGGTAAGATCACCCATGATCTTATAGAATGGCAGGACAGGCTCGAGGGACAGACTGACCTCCTCCTGTTTCTACATTTCTATGTTACTCACTTACTGGCTGTGTGTGGGACATTGTTGTTGCAAAATTGGCCGTTTCATTCACCTACAAAATAGTAAATTCCCAATGCAAAAGGCATTATATCAAATGCAAGGATTATTATTATCAGAAATGCACCCAAATGGCTTCTTCATCCAAACCTCTCCAATGACCTTGCAGTTGTATTTTGTTATGTACTTCGAGATGTTCACCCATTGTGAAAAGGCCCACCTCTGCTGTTGCCATCACTGTCTGCAGCAGCATGGTTAGAACCACATGAATGCTCTCAGTAGATATCCCAGTCCAGCCTGTGCCACCCGCAAGTACATGAACATTGGCAAGAAATATTAGAATTATTATAAATAGTACAATGCAATGTTCATCACAAATATTTGCAAAATATTGTGATTTGCTTCACTTTATTGATGCATGGCTAAGTAAGCAGTAAATAATTTAAACTGATCAATATTTGACCCTTCCGCTATTTTAAACAGCCACTAATTATCAGAGAGCATTTTAAGATGCACTACATTCATTTTTAGTGCTGTGATATTTATTAATAATAAGAACGTCATGTCGGAAGGAATCAAAGCACTTCACAGGATTTATTGTACAGTAACTGCATTTTGTGGGCGAGCACGGCACAGCAATGTACCACAAACAACCATGAAGTTGTTGTCCAGGAAGCCAGGAGAAACTCCCTTCACTTTTTAAATTGTGCCGCACAATCTTTAACATCTACTTGAATAGTTAGGTTGGAGCTTGGTTTAACATCTCATTCGAAGGACGGCGCTTCCAAAAATATTGCACACCCCTCGCACCTCTTTGGCGTGTCAGCCTTGATTATTTGAGTTCAAAGTCCCAACTAAGGGCATTATTAAGAAATAGACCTTTTTTGGGGGGAGGGTGGGGCTGAGGGAGGAACTCGGTAAATAACCTTGGATACAGAGGCACTCATGGCTCTGCTCGTTGTCCTGTGCATGTAGTTCTAGCTACAGGAGAACTGATATTTATTCCCTTGTGTTTTTTTTCTTGAGATTCTCATCAGGGTGAGTACCAAAGAAAACTCTACAGTGAGCTGCTGAAAAACTACAATCGACTGGAACGTCCTGTGGCGAACGATAGTCAGCCTCTGGTCGTTGACCTTGGAATCGCCTTCATTCAGATAATCGATGTGGTGAGTGTCAAACTTCAGCACATATTGATTCAGATACATAATGATTTAAATAGATTGTACAATACAAAATCAGGCCATTTGGCCCAACTAGTCTGTGCCGTTGTTTATAGTCCAAATGAGTCTTCACCCGCTCCTTGCTATAACTTTCTATTCACAGAAAGACTCTACAGTCATTGATAAAGACAGACAACAAAGACAGACATAGTCAGTGAATTTAAAACAATGAGGGTCAAAATAGTGCAATTCCTAAACATTTTATTCTTTGTTTAAAGAACATTGTTGACGTTTGGTTTGAAATAAGATACCCTCTGCCTCCCTCCGATTTCTGATTATTGGCAGCACCTGAACATGGCTACAAAGCCCAGAACTTTTGTCTTCGATTTAGGCTTTGTGGGGACACATTTTCAGCCTTTCCAAGGTTGCACAGAGATAACTGGTTCACCTGAATCTTTATAAAGCAAGTGAGGATGTTTTAGTGTGGCCTTCTTTGCACGTGCTTCTCTGATCTTATTCATAGCTTACTTATTTCCAAAAGTTGAATGAAAATAATCTAGGTTGAGAGAAGTTATTTTTTGTTCCTTGAAAATAATCCCTCTAAGCAAGAATTCAAGATAGCAGTGACAAGGGCTTTTAAACCAGTTCTGGGTCCTCCTGTTATTTATAAGTCGGAAGGCAATAGTTGTTTTCATTCCAGGTAATCATTTTTTTTCACTTCATTCCACAAATCTCATTCCAGACTTTTGAGTGTGTGGTTGCTGTCTGGATTAAGCAGAGAACATTAGTACTGTTGGGGAAGATATCGTGGCAGATATTGTCCTGAGGAGAATTTCAGCCTTTTTTTGTACACAAAGGTGTTCATTTCTTAAAAAGAAATAATCCTTGCACTCAATATAATGCCTTTCATGTTGGGAGGACGTCTCAGAATTTTCCTGTTAAGTGCTTAGACGGTGTATTTCACAGGCAAAGCTTTAGGTTGATTCAATAAGCGAGACTGCCTTTGTATAAGATTCAATTAGATCTTATACATAGCGAGTATGTATGGCTGTAGCAGATCTCAGCCGGGATAGAGAAGTCTGACAGTTAGCCTATGTGTCCCTGAGCTTTGGGTGGAGGTGGAGGGGGGGTCAGGGATCCTGCTCTTAATTGCTATCCAATGTTGTTTGTTCATGGATGTCTCAGCGCCTTGGGACGTCCTCCTGACGTGAAAGGCGCTTTATAAATTGAATCTTGTTGTTGTTGTTGTTGTTGGACTAGGCAGTGAGGCTCTGAACTAGCCTGCTCACATTCATTGGCTGTACTCCCATAATAAAAATAATAATACTCCCATAATAATAATAATACTTGCATTGCATTTGGTATAGTGCCTTCCACATCAGGAGAATGCCACAAAGCCATCAAGATTTATTGTAAAGTTTAATGATTGTATTTTACAGGCAAAGAGAGCCAATTTCCACATAGCAATGTCTCACAAACAGTCATGAAGTAAATGAATAATTTTATTTGGGTTTGTTGGCCAGGAGAAACTTCCTTCTTTTTTGAGGAGTGCCATAAGACATTTAACATCTTGAACAGACACCATATTGGAATATCAGGCCGCCATCAGGTCTTAAACTCATGCAGTCTGGGCTGACACTTCAATGTAACATTGGGGAAACATTGTTAGAGGTACCATTCTTTAAATGAGATGTTATACCAAGGCTCCATCTGTCTTTCCAGATAGACGGTAAAGATCCTTTGCCACTATTCAAAAAGAGAAGGGCATTTTTCATGGTGTCCTGGCCAACAATCCCCCAAATAAAATTCATCATTCACTCCATGGTTGCTTGTTGAAAATTGCTGTGAGATTATTAGCTGCTGCGTTCCACGACTAAATACAGTGTCACTACACTTTACAATATATACGGTGTAGTGCTTTAAGATGTCCTCCTGACATGAAAGGTGCTCGTTAAATGTAAGGATTATTATTTGCTTATTGAGGAGTGGGCTTGCTGACTAAAATAGTCTTTTCTCTTTCGGTGCTTTTTTCTATGTTTTTAAGTGTTCCTCTTGGAAAGTCGAAATGTTCCCCATAATATCTTTCTAGTGGAATAAAAATGCAATCAAATTATTCAGCATGCAAACAAGGCATTCAAGTATGCAGTGTTTCAAAAAATCATGTTGATAAGTGATCTCCACTCAAAACCAAACACAAAAAGATTTAAAAAATCAATAGTGAAACATATGTAAATGGCTCTGAGAGTAATAACAGTTTGAGTGACTGATTGAATTAACATTCCTGTAGTCTGTCAGCCAGTGAAATTATTATAGTTTTTTTTGTGTGGAAAGACGTATTTGTGCTGCAGTCTAAACACTCATTATTACTGAAAGGCCTGAGGAATTGAGAAACTCTTTGACCTTTACTGACAAACCTGACACTTTCTTTCCAAAATTGAGCTAATCATTTTAATTAAAACATGCCAAACATCCAGAAAACCTCCACATCTTGATGTTGCCATCTGCTCTTGAATAAAAATTATAATAAAAAAACATAACTTCAGCGTTCAGAACAGAGGGAAAGAACAGTGGATGAAAAGAGATACGATACCTATGTAATTATAATAATAATGATATAATAGTTACATTAGGTATAACGCTTTTCATGTTGGGAGCACATCCCAAAGTACATCACAGGATATACTACAGCGTGTATTGACTGTGAATTTTGTAGGTGAATGTGATGTTTCTCTCTTTTAATTTTCAGTGGGTATTAAATGTAGACTGAATTCAGATCGAAGTTTAGAGACCTTTCATACGACCACAGAAAGAATGGAATCGGTCAGCTGAGATTGAAGTTGATGTGTTGGGAGCTGCCAATGAAATCAAATTATTCAGCATGCAAACAAGGCATTCAAGTATGCAGTGTTTCAAAAAATCATGTTGATAAGTGATCTGCACTCAAAACCAAACACAAAAAGATTTAAAATATCAATAGTGAAACATATGTAAATGGCTCTGAGAGTAATAACAGTTTGAGTGACTGATTGAATTAACATTCCTGTAGTCTGTCAGCCAGTGAAATTATTATAGTTTTTTTTGTGTGGAAAGACGTATTTGTCCCGAGGCTCTCCTGACCAATGTAACATGAGGATTCAATCCTTTCAACAATGGAGGAGGAGTGAGGGTGGTGATCAGGAACCGCGTTTTAAAGTAGTCCAAATATTTCTTAAATAGATGTGCTGTACATTTCAACACTAACACACAGTGCCACAGAGTGGGAGGATGCGTCAGGTTGGAATCTGTCCACAAACAGAGCCCACCCTCCAATCCTCATCTTAATAATAGATAATCTCTGTATTTGATCCAGCACCACATCACATTGTTGAGAATTCTCAAAGCACAGTTTCAAAGCGCTAATTTTGAAAGCAGTTAATAATAATAATAATAATAATAATAATAATAATCCTTGCATTTGATATAGCGCTTTTCACGTCGGGAGGACGTCCCAAAGCGCTTCACAGAACACACTGTAAAGTGAATTGACTGTATATTTGTGGGCGAACGCGGCAGCCAATTGCGCACAGCAATGTCCCACAAACAGTCGTAGATTGAAAATGACCAATTTAATTATTGTTTTTTAGTTTTGGAGGGATTATTATTAGGCGTATGGAGTAAGGAAACTTGCCCAAGGTTTCGCCCTGTGCCTGGAATTGAACTCAGGTCTCTCACTTGCAAAGCGAGTGCTCTAACCACTGAGCTACAGGACTCCAATAATAATTATTTGTGATGCAGATCTTCAAAGACTTTGATGAATTTATAATAATAATCTTTGCATTTGATATTGCACCTAATCAAAAGTATGTGCAATATTAAATCCAAAGATTATTATTGTAAATCTGTTCCACCATTGGTGACCGCGCTTTCAGCCACTACGCCCCGAAACTCTGGAACACTCTTCCTCTATCCCTCCGCCTTGCACCTTCCTTCCCCATCTTCAGGTCGTGCCTGAAGACCTTCCTATTCGACTGTGCCTATGGTCACCCCCCCCACCCCCAAGCCCACCCAGCTCAGCATTGGGCATTGCCACTGTCAAGCACACTGTGACGTTACCCTGTGTGAGGGTAGCTATATAAATGCAAGTTGGTGGTGGTGTAGTCAAATACTTAAAAAATCCAGTTCAGATCAGGGAATTGCCATTCATCAGTGCAATCATTCTACGTTTGGTAAGGAGGATATGAATGAAAAATGTGATGTTTCATAACCAAATCAATGTCACATTCAATATTTCATTTTTTTAGTTTGAAATTCTGGTGCTTTCAATTGATTTTTTTCAACTTTCATGTGAAATTTCAGTGAGTTTTTTCTTCTTAGAAGTTTTACCTTTGATTCCTCAGGAATGTTGAGGAGAGTTAAAAGCAGTGTCAATGGTACATGGAAATTGCAGTTTTGATAAGTTTTTGTTTATTTCATAATTAATTTTTATGATTTAATGAAAATATTGCAATTTTAGTGATCAACATTAAATAGAGGGCAACCCCTTTTATATCATGTTCAGCTGGGACCAACATACGAGAAATAAATATTCTAATCAAATGCAACAAAATGGCCAGCTTCCTGATCCAGTCACAACATCACTTATTGACAAAAGTCATTTCCCCCACAAATATACAGTCAATTCACTTCACGGTATATTCTGTGAAGCGCTTTGAGATGTCTAGAAGGCATGAAAAGTACTATATCAAATGCAAAGATTATTATTATTATTAAGTGCAGCACAGGCACAGGAAATGATGCCAATGGTGCTTTTAGCACACAACGTACATGTGCGCATTACAAAGGAAGAGAGCTCAGTGGCAACTGGGCAATGCTAGACATCAGGTGTACCGTGTTTCCATATAGCAAGGTTCCACACTAAGGCTAAGCTACAAATGGTTGTGCACTAATGGGAAAACCCTGTAGCCACAATTCGTTCAATGCTGGTAAAGCAATATTTAATTTATGAAAAGGTGCTAGATGGGCAATTC